TATCGATGGGTGTGTTTCGAAGACGGTGGAGCTAGATGACGTTGAATGACGCGCTGTACACATCGTGGGCGTGGAGTTTGCCATCGTCGCTGATTAAGCCATATTATGCTGTTGAGGCGTCGTTGTGTGAGCCCGAGGGCGACTATCGCATCATGCGGAAGAATGTCTGCGATATCGAGGATAAGCTCAGTCGGGAGATTGATGAGCTGTGCTGGCATGTCTTCCTGTGCGTTCGGCAGAGGTCGCTGTTGATACTTCGTGGGTCTTCGTAATCTGAGGATTGGAAACAGTCGTAGGAGGAGGTCGATGCAGTACGCTCGCACACAAGGCGAGGCCCATTTGCAGAGCCATATCGGTGGAGTCATTCACAGTGTATAGCCACCGTTGTGACATTTCACGTCCGACTGTAAAGACGAACAGCGCCCATCTGTCGAAGGGTGAATTCGCTACTAATAAGGGATCCATGAATTCGCCTCCTTTCCAAGGGCGGTGTCTCATATTCATGCGTGAGGTGGGCGTTGCGCTTCATCATGTGTGACGGGCTTATCGGGCGTATATGTTGCAAGGGAGGATGAGTGGTCATGTCGGAGGTGTGGCTGATGGCTTCAGTGATGCCTAGACTCATGATCGGTGGCAGGCGCGTGATGTCAAGAAATGAAAGGGGAAAGAGCGTTGGATGCTGATGACTCGAAATGTGTGATGACGATGGAATGGAATGGACAGGGTGACTGAGCGGATAGGCGAGAGGAGAATACATTCCTCAGGATGACGTGTGCAAGGCTTACTTTTGGAGGCTATAGCGCAACGGCGGAGTGTAGGCGAAGTTGGCGAACTACAGAAGCTGGGGTATGCGGGAGCGCAGGCCTAGCCGAATGGGTTGTACCCTTGTCTGTGTTGGTCGGTTCACGCACGTGCCATTTTGTTATTGCGCCTACAGTGAGGTGTTTTCGAGCGTCGGCCGGCTTTGTATAAAGACTTGTGTATCTGGAGACTCGGCAGCGCATTCCGACCCCCCACATCGAGGATGGATACTGACGTCGCATATCAGCATGCGAAGCTCGGCGTGCATGGCGTTGCTATCTTGACTTTGTTAAACCTCATCTGGAAACAAGGCCGGCACCGACGCTGGCCATCTTGGTCGTCTCTGAGCCAAAACTGCTCAGGCGACGACCACACCGATGGTAAGAGTATTATCTCTCTGGTGGATGTGCATGTGCTATGATGGAGAAGCAAGCCACAAGTCGATATTTTCACGAATGTCTGTCTTTGGTGGGTGCTTATTGGAGGCAGCCCACATTGCTCGTCCGATTGCCCCGCATCACAGCCCAAGCGCTTCCACATGGTGCGTGATGGTGGAGGGCAGTGATCATGCTGGCAGCACGGCGTGGCATGCGTCGGCCTGGCAGCCATGGATTGCTGCACTCGCGGGCGCACTGGCGGGGCACTGCGAACGCGAGGTTCGCAGATGATGGCCGCGACGCAGCTGTCGATGTCTATGGGAGGACGCAGACCCTGAGTCGGTGTATGTCAGGGCCGTGACAAAGCCAGACCGGTAGGGTCCACGTGTAAAGGAGACGCGCGGGGCTTTGTTGCGAATAGCCGACGACAGATAGGGTGGTGAGAGCCCGAACGACGGTTGCAGGTTCGCTAAACGCGCCCGCTGCTCGCACTGCATATCCCGCAGTCCTCGACGACGACATGCAGCTGCCCCTCTCGGACGTCATCCGCCAGCTCTTCCACTTCGCCGACTGCTGAAGAGCCGTAGAGTTGGGCTTCCAGGACAACGGCAGCCACCAACGCGAGGCTGCGGCGTCCGTCATACGAAGTACGCGGTTGGACCAGGACGGGATGGAAGGCATGTCGAACTAATTGCATGCAGCTGGTGAGGCCCGTGTCGTCGAAGCGGAGATGAATTAAGTGGATAGGTCGTTGCTCGGCCTGCTTAGCGCGAGGAATCCAGCATCCCCTTTCGCCATGTCCTCACATTCCCGCGATATCTCCCGAAGTCCCTCCCTGACCCCTACCCGCTCTCAGTTGTGCTTTTCCTGGTGCCTCACTTGCTGCCTGCCCGGTGAACAGCTGTCGCTCCTTTTTCGCGGTGAAGGTGAGTTCACGGTTCACTTTCTTCGGTACGCGGCACGACCCTGTCTGTCCAAAACATCTCCGCTCTCCACCAAAATTTTCCGCTGCCCGCCTCGACCTCATTTCCCGCCCCCATATCGTCAACACGGGCTGCCGCCGACCGCCGAACCTCTTGTTGCCGAACCTCAGTCGCCAATTGCTGCGTGCCATTGCTGGACCAGAACAACCGTACTGACCAGTGTACCCAGAATATCTAGACTAGTCCCGCCCACGAGCCCTTTGGCGTTGCGCAACTACCCCGACTCCCACGAAGCCACCGGACTGCCTCTTGCCCGCCATGTCCTACTACAACGACGCGTCGTGGAACACACCCGCTCCCGGCCGCCAGCAGTCATGGGAGCAGCCCCAACCGCCCTCGCGCTCAGGTACCGGCCACATGGGATTCAACGGCGCAGGTGCAGCGATTCACATGGATGTAGGCACGAGCTCCACGGTCAACAGCGAGGTCGCCAATGCCTTTGCCTCGCAGTTTGAGGGTACGTAGTTCCGGCGGTGGGGTCTGTCAGAGCCAATGCGACCCGACATGGCAGTGACAGGCCCCGTCGCAACCATAGGCGAGGCGAGTGCTGACCAGTCACCACAGAGGTCGACCGCGCCATTGAGAACCTCAGCAAGAGCGGCAAGCCCCTCGGCCCCGGCTTCCCTCCCACCCCCATGGGCGCCAACCGCCGCGAGTCGATGCCCATGATGGGAGGCGCGCCCCGCCCATACCCCGACTTCGGTACACACTTCTGCCCACGCATGCCCCTCCACACCACTGACATGTGACACAGAGCAGCAGCGCATGGGCGGCCCCCAGCGCCACCACTCGGTCAGCGAGTACGACGGCTCCCGCTCCCACTCGGCGACCAACGTCCAGGGCTTCTACCAGAACCAGCGCGGCTATGCGCCCCGACCCAACGACGCGGACCAGATGGCACAGGCGAAGCGACGGATGGCGGCTCAGCGTGAGCGTGAGCTGCGCAACTATCATCAGGAGCAGCAATACCACAGAAGTAAGGACTCGGAATCTGGGCAACAATAGGCAGGACAGTTGGTTGACTAGGGTAATACAGACGTTTCAGGCTCAGGCTCCAAGTCGGACCGCTCCATGAGCCCCAATGCCATGAATGAAGATGAGCGCCGCGAACTCATCGCCCGCCAGCACCGTGCTTTGTATGGCGAGACCTCCACCCTGTACAACAGCAACCCCACCTCGAGCCAGGATGTCCGCGTTCAGACTTCTGCTGCCGGCCGTGGCCCCTCTCCGCTCGCCTTTGACCCCTTCGGCATGCAGGCCCAGTCCGGCGAGGGCTCCGTCCAGATGCCTCCCCGCGACAAGGACGTTACTGGTGGTGCTCAGGATGCTCGTGCCAACAGCACCTCTTCGCCGTCCGGTACTCAGAACCCCGCGTTCAACCTCTTCGATGCGCAGCAGGCGAACCGCACTTCCAACTCGTCGCCCGGAGGCTCTCCTCCCGTGCCCGGTCAGAAGGCCAACGGCTCTGGTGTCGCCCCCATCGGCACTCGTCCCCAGAACCAGAACCTGCAGCAGCCAGGTGGTGCCGCCCTGGGCAAGCGCGCAAACTCACCGCTGCCGTCGCCTCTCGGCTACAACTCGTACAACGCGAGCGAGCAGAACAACATGACGACATCTGCTTCTATGAACCCTTCTTCTACTGTCACTGACAAGGGCGTTGGTATTTGGAACAACGGACCCTGGAGCAACACCCCCACCCAGGGAGTCCAGGCGTCTGTTTGGGGTTAGAAAACGGAGTTTTGATTAGGGAGATAGGATGCACCTCCGGAGTTACTGCATTTCAGGTGTCTCGGGCATACTGTGTCGGTCTTTCAGATACAACCATAGGTGGAGCCGGTCAATTGGTGGTCGGCGAATATTTCCTGTGGGTTTGGCGGCGCACTTGCAGCATGCTCGCCTACGTTCCACATCTCTGGGTCTGCTGAAGATAATATACCTCTTACGGGCGGTTACATGGGTGTTTGCTAGGCAAGGTTAAGGGTCGGCATCGGTTTACGGGGCTTGCGGGAGTTTGCTTAAGGATGACTTGCTATTACCGGTTGCTAGCTTTCGGATCTGGTCGAGGGCATCTACATCATCGAAAGTGGGCTAGGTCCTACGCGGATGATATTGGGACGCTATCTGACCTGGTATATCAAACGGTCTAATGGGAAAAGTGGCTTGGGACGAACCATCCTTTTGGTGAAAATGCCTTGCGCGATGTCTCCAGTGAATTTCTTCATACCACCGCTGCGTTCATACACCTGCCTGTTCGGGATGACCGCTGCCGTGGTGAAGGAGCTAACACGTGACCCTTGCTAGCGGTGTTCTAAGCGAGGCAGTCGAGGTCAGGGTTAGCGCGGCGCGGCAACCCCAGCTCCAGAATCGTGGCCTTTGAGAGCCGCCGAGCGACTATCACCAGCTGCTTCCACAACATCTTCCATCACAACCACTCCGTCCATATCGCCCCGGTCACCGTCAAAAACACACATCATGGTCAGTAACACCTTCCTTGGCGCTAGAGACGGCCATTGGACACACGAGGACACCTGGCTGTCGTTCCGGAGCATGCGACAGGAGAGCAAGAGCATGAGGACATGTCACAGAGACTATTGGACTGGTGTCGCGTGCTGCCACTTCTCGACCTGTCTGCTATCCGTTCAGACGTCATGGTTTCTCGATTCATCCAAGAAGGCCCGCGACAATGCCCTCACGCACAAGCCAAACCTCAGAACACGAAGATCATTGCTAACATCACGGATAGTCTGCTGCACGCGCTACCTCCCCCGCCACGGGCTCTACCGGCTCAACAACCGCGCGTCCTGCGTCACCAAAGCCCCCAGGTGGCCCCGCGACCGTTATGCGCAGGAAGGCTGCGGCTGACCGCGCCGAGAAGACCGCGAACCTGCGACCAAGCAGCACAAGGGCGGCAGGTGCTGGCGGCAGCTCAAGCACTATGCTGAGTAAGTGCACTCCGAGCTGGGTAGAGAACGAGAAGAGGAGGATGCGTAGTAGAATGAGCTGCTCAGCTATGCTAGCAGCGGATTTGGCATGCGGCGGTTGGCAGAGATACAATTGTGGGACATTGGCTAACATCCATTTCCAGGGCTATACACCGATGAGTCCCCCGGTCTAAAGGTCGACCCTGTCGTGGTCATGACCCTGTCCGTTGTCTTCATCTTCAGCGTTGTCGCTCTTCACGGTACGTACACCGGAACATCCTAATTCAGTATCAATCTAACAGCTCTCAGTCATCGCCAAGGTCATGCGCCGATTTTCCGCATAAACACATCTTCCCAGATGCACCCTTTACAATATTCGACCGATTCCCCCTACGTTGAGGATGGCCCTCTACTGCGGCGACCTCAACATTTCTCACAACCTCTATTTGCGATTACCCGTGTTCATTTCCTTATCATCTATTCCCGATCGTTGGGCACAAGCATAGAAAGCATGGGACGAACCGTAAAAGCATTGTATCAGGATATCATCTTGACCGTTGACTTGGCAGGACGATGGAAAGCTCGTATGGCCAGGGACTGCTAGTTTTGCTTGCTGTATTATAGGTCCCCATTGTAATCAGGAGTTTTGACAATGCGTTCTTACTGAAGTCTGTTGAATCAATTCACCGTGATGGAACCGGCAATAGCTGGAGTCTGGGGCTCTATTAGCAGGACATTGGTTGCAGCCGAGATGCATGCTGTTGTCTTTCTTTCTCAACGTCACAGCACATACTAGGCAATCTCCAACATTTCAAGCATTCCGGACATGTTGCTATTAAGATTCTTCAATCCACAGGCCTTTCTATGTCATAATGTCGTATCTGTATACGTCCGCCTTTCTCGTCCGAAGTCTCCATCGAACCAACGCAAACTACAAAGGGGTATTCTAAACTCATTTTGAAGCAAAACATCCACCCAAACAATGCAGCACAGAGCCTACACAATACGGCTCGCCCGATCAACCTCGATCTTGAACTCCTTCTTCTTCCCAATCACCAGCCTAGTTCCAGACTTGGAACCGCTCCCCCCATCCGCAGTAGCCCTATCCATCTCCTCCCTCGTAATGCTCAGACTCCTCTCTCCGACCCAGACCTCCGCTTCATGCCCACGATACATGTGCGTAGGACGAAAATGCTCATCCGCCGTCATGAATTCATTAGTATGCCCCGGCGGCGACGCTCGCGTTGGACTACTAGATTGCATCGATTCGAGAGCATGGGAGCCGTCTTGATCTCCTAGGGACTGCTTGCTCGCCCGCCGGCTGGGTAACGTATCCATGAGATAGGATTCCGAGATGTTATCCGCCGACCGCCTATGATGGCCATGATGGTGATGGTGACCCATCATCTGTCTCCTCGATGGCGGTAACATCCCACTCGAATGCGTCGTCAACGCACTTTCCATCCTCGACCTGCCCCCACTCCCACTCCCACTATGCCCCTCTCCATACTGCTTATACGTACTACTCACGTACTCCTTGTCAAACGGCTTCAAGAACGGACCCATACCCGTTATCGTACTCGACATGATCGCATACCCCATCTGCCATTGCGTAGCGATTACATAGTCGAAAGTGAAGTTTGTCCCGCGAAGTCGTAGGTCCAGGTAGTAGAGTCGGATTCCGGCGATTGCGATCACCGGAAGGCGGGCGGAGAAAGCGAGGATTACGAGGAGTTTGGCGAGAAGGCGCATTTGGAGGGAGTAGATTAGGTGGACTGCGGCGAGGAACATTAGGAGTTCGGTTAGGATGTCGAAGGTGCCTATGCTGAGCCATTTTGGCCACTGTGGTGGTGCGTTAGTATATGGATGATGGATGTATTTCATCGAGGAAAAGAATGTGTTTAGTCGCCTAGAATAGTCGACTTACCCTGTTCGTACAGTTGCCTGCGTCTATATATGTTTGCGCAGGATTGCATGGTATAGCAATCAGGATGACGGATACCAGCGCCCATAGACAGGACAGTGCTACGAGCGACCATGATGCTATGCGATGAGATCCTCCCGGCGATAGTCTTAGGTACAGGGAGAGCACCGATAGCTTTGAGGCGAGTATAACGAAGATATAAATGATCTGCGACGCGAAACCTTCCTGTTGGTTGTTAGACGCGGTTTCCCCAGATGTTCGGCGGTTCACTCGGTCGCGGCTGCCCTGCGGGCCTGCGCGAACGCCAGAAGGAAGCAAGGAGCCGACACCCACGCGCGGATCCAGAGGGTCGCTGAATCGCCAAAACTTAAACACCACGTACATTTCCAAGTTGCTGCAGTTGCGACAACGGTACTCCGACCTGTGAAGCTCCCAGGCCTAGGTTGACGAGATGGAATATGATTCCTGATTGTACCGTGTCGAGCAATGTCGCTATTGCGAGCCACCAATCTGCACACACGCCATCAGCACAATGTCTCAACTCGAGTACAGACCGACTCTAGGGCACTTGCCATCAGATCGCCACTCCCTCGATTGCAGGCGCAACCATACCCGGATCAGAAAACAAGACCAGACAAAAGCCAAGACAGCTGCACCAGTCACGACAATGAGCCCGCGCTTGTCATCCGCAGATATAACATACGGCGGAGGAATCACCTCTCCAGCCATCGAGCATCAAGGGAAAAATTGAAGAAGAAAGGTACAACAGAGTGGCGGCCATAAGATGACAGGCAGACAAATTCCACGGCAGTTGTCAGAGGGCGACCCTTTGGGTTCTGTACCGCTGCTCCTGCGTCTGACATGTACCTATACCGCCTGTGGTTTGCACACAGCCAGCCCAATGAGAGCTCGCGCGGACGTTATACCGCCCATGTCACTCCCTTCACGTCGTCCTCCCTCACGCTCATCGCTTATTGATCAGGACCGAATGCGACCCATGTACACGGGTTCACGGGAGATCTTGTTGAAGATGGCGTCTGATGCTAAGCGAGCCATGACCAAGTACTCCTAACGCATAAGGGTCTCTTCGTCCTTGTATGTGCTACAGTGGCTGACGCCAACAAGGCTCGGCGCCCGGCGGAATGACAGCCGCATGCTGCCATACGTTGAAATGACATTCAGGTAGCTAGCGCGGAGAAAGCGGTTTACTGAACGGTGGGACAAGAAATTCTTGTGAAAGTTTACCGTTCCCTCGGGTTTGATGAGCTCGGCTACCAGCATGACTGATTTGAGATTCCCTAGGTAATATCCGTTCGAAGCAGCAATACGGTTACAGAACGCTACAAATCTACAAATCGTACCATGAATTACGAATCATACCATGATCAACATTCGCTAATCTGATGTTCACCCTGGCTCCCTTCAACCTCGTAAGGCTGGAGAAGGTCCAGAACGAATTCTTCCGCTTCCCCTAGAGAGACGTTTCCACCTCTCACGAGCGTGTCATCTCGGCGGATTATCTTTTTCCTACACAAGCCTGCGGCAGATGCAACTACATGTAATCAATGTACGACTCCTGCAGCGATAGCCTACGGCCCAGCCGCAGCAAACCCCCATATAAGGAAGCGGGCCGCGTGGTGTCGCGCTAGCGGCAGGGATAGTGGCATCTGGGCGGACAGGACGTCAAACCATTCATGGCAAGTCGGAGGGCCACGCACTGTGTACCGCGATGATCTTGTTGGTTGACATGTGCACCGGAGTGTATCTGCACCATTGGACCCTGGCTCCGCTCGAGAAGAAGAGATGCCGGGTATGTGAAGGGGGTTTGGGTCTAGTGCACCCCACTTCTTCGTGGAAGCGGCAGACAAGGCATTTCGCAGCGGCTGGACGAGCCCATCTCGCCAGCATGCATGTGCACGCCCTTTCGTGTGTCCGTGTGGGCAATCCCTTCTTCTTACTTACCATCGCACCGTTCTCGCTTGTTCGTTTGCGTTTGCTGTTCCTGTTTCTTGGGTCTCATTTTTATTGAGGCGCTGCGTTCCTGCATATCTTAAGGCGCGCATCTGGTTATGGCTGCTTACGAGGCTCAGCCGCTTGGCAGTATGGATAAGCAGGCGACGTTGGAGTCGCGGGCGAATGCGTCGCGGTCGTTGGATGAGGATGAGAGTCAGGAGTATCACCAGTCTCTGAGGGGTTTCACGAGGGCTGATCGCGCGGATATGGAGCGCATGGGCAAGGTGCAAGAGCTGAAAAGAAATTATCGGCCGTTGTCTGCGTTGGCGTTTACCGTTATCTTGCAGGGTACTTGGGAGGTGCTTTTGACGTACGTTACCTTGGTACTATGGATGTGGACTAGGAACTGACAATATCGTAGTGCAACATACCAAGGCCTTCTCGATGGAGGCCCAGCAGGTCTTATCTGGAGTTTCGTCTGGACATGGTTCGGCTTCAGCACTGTTATGCTGTCGCTAGCAGAGATGGCATCGATGGCACCGACTGCTGGTGGCCAGTACCACTGGGTCTCCGAATTTTCGCCTCCAAGCGTCCAGAAGCCATTCAGCTACTTCATCGGCTGGATGTCAACACTTTCATGGCAAGCCGGTACAGCTTCCGGACCTTTCCTCGTCGGCACCCTAATCCAAGCCTCTGTCATCGTCATGTACCCAGAATACGAGCCCAGCAGCTGGCACGGAACGCTCATGGTCATTGCCGTGACCTTCTTGGTCTGGGTCCTGAATATCTGGGGCTCAAAGGCTATGCCTATTTTCCAGAACGTCATGTTGGTCGTTCACGTATTCGGTTTCTTGGCCATCATCATTGTCTTCTGGGTTCTGTCGCCACGGGCTACTGCTGAAGTGACTTTCACCCAGTTCAAGAATGGCGGAAACTGGAGTTCAACTGGCTTGGCTCTTATGGTGGGTCAGGTGTCAGCCATCTATGCTTGCATCTGTAAGTCTATATCTCTACCAAGCGTCATCGTTAAAACATAAGCTAACATCCAATCACAGGCTCCGACTCCGCAGCCCACATGGCCGAAGAGATCAAAGATGCCGGCAAAACCGTTCCCCGCGCCATGATCGGCGCGTACCTCATGAACGGCTCCCTTGGAATAGTCTTCCTAATCAGCTATATGTTTATGATCACCGACGTCGACGCCGCACTCGCTGAGGACTACCCGCACATGTGGGTGTTTGCCCAAGCCGTCAACTCTGGTGGTGTCGTAGCCCTCAACGCCATTCCCACGGTGCTCATCTTCGCCGGCACATTAACTTTCAACTTGTCGACTTCACGCCAGACCTGGGCTTTTGCTAGAGACAAGGGTCTTCCCTTCAGCAACTGGATTGGCCATGTCGATCCAAAGTTGGAAATTCCGGCGAATGCTGTGACGGTGACCTGTCTTATTACGGTTGCGCTGAGTCT